ACAACATTGTATCCTCCATTTACCGAGCTGCAGCCTTCCTTCAGGTCCCGCGCTGCAAAAACTTCCAGCCGGCCAATAGCAGCTCTGCAGTCTTCCTCCAGCCCATGGCTGCTGAGGTGGGCGGAGGAAGCTGCAGGTGGCCAGAGTGAAGGGAAGACAGCGAACCGATTCTGCTCCTCCTCGGCCGCTGCAGCTACAGAACGGCCGAAGAGGAGAATCAGTTCAGCTGAAGAGAAACAAGAACAAGCGATTTCCGCTGCAGAAGTAGTTTCACCCCCCTGGTCCTGCCAGCGATTTTTGTTGCCCTGTCCCAACTTTTTTAAGACGTCTTGCTTCCACCAATTTGAAAATGACCCAATTTATTTCTTACAATGGTTCATTTCCTCAGTTTAAACATTTGATATGTTTTCTATTGTGAATAAAATCCGGGACTATGAGATCTGCAAATCATTGAATTCTGTTTTTATGTAGATTTTACACAATGCCCTAAACTTTTTTGGAATTGGGGTTGTATTAATGCAGCCTGGTAACTCAAGATATTTAATAATACCAGGGAATTTTTTGTAAGCAGAGAGGCTTTCAGCAAGGACCAATTGGAGCACAAGGCACATCACTGTACATTAGGGAGTGAGGTGCTGCTAAAGAGAGCTGTCATAGAATGTAGTGTGGATGGTGGGAGGAGAGCTGTCAGAGAATGTAGTGTGGATGGTGGGGGAGAGCTGTCAGAGAATGTAGTTTGAATGGTGGGGGAGAGCTGTAAGAGAATGTAGTGTGGATGGTGGGAGGAGAGCTGTCAGAGAATGTAGTGTGGATGGTAGAGGAGAGCTGTCAGAGAATGTAGTGTGGATGGTGGGGGAGAGCTGTCAGAGAATGTAGTGTGGATGGTGGGAGGAGAGCTGTCAGAGAATGTATTGTGGATGGTGGGGGAGAGCTGTCAGAGAATGTACTGTAGATAAAGTCTTATGAGTGTGTCATCTGCTATATCAGCAAAGGGTGGCGAGTCAGGAACTGAGATTACATTTCCTTACACAAGTTTAAAGCAAAATTATCTTAAATTTTTGACGTATTTGTTGTTTTGTTTGAGTGCGTAAGGACGTTAAGCTGTGTAATTTGTAACAAAAACTAAAAAACGTCAAAATCTATTGACTGCTGTGTATATATGT